ATATTTTCAATTTCTCTAAAATAACTTTAAATTAGAACTTAAATTATAATTTTAAATTATATTTTGTTATAAATTTGGTCATGACTATGAATTTGTCATTCTTCTAATGCGCTATCTAATGTACATGATATATTAAATAAAAAGTTTTGAACGAATTTTTGGTTCTAACATTTTTAATTTTTCAAAATCTAGTTCAAATCTCGAAATTCCGACAGTGGTATGAAGAATTCTTTAAAAAAAAACTCCATTTTTTCTCTATTCGACAATTCTCCAGTATAAAATAATTTAGTTCGCGTATTAAAAGTCAAACATTCAGTAAAAATTATACTATTTAAATGTTATTTTTTTCGATCATTAATGGATCTTCCTTTATGTATTCAATGTCCCAAACTCAAAAATAGTCACAGAAAAGTTTTTTTAATGTTTCCAGCAATGTCAAAAGGCCGAATAATTAGTCCTACTAATGGTAAACCGCGATATTTCATCTTTTGAAAAAAATAGTTCTAGTCAAAAGATTCAATCGCGATTTTAACCCCGAATCCCGTACAACTTCTCATATATATTCCGCGAGTCGCTTATGTACACACACACACACATCGCGAGCCACTGTGATAAAGCTCTCACAGTGCTGCGTTCGGACAATCGCAAGCTCTCCATCTCTCTTTCATTTTATATTATATACAAGCGCGCGCGTATACACACATGTTTAATGTATGCGATGAAAAGCCAAGAGTGAGCTAGGCTAGGCGCTGCTGCGTATATACAGGCCCACGCCTACCCCTCCGATAAATACATTATGTATGAAGACAACGTAGGAATTGCACAATATTACCCTCCGTGCGCGCGTTTATATAGGCGATGACGACAAGAGCAGCAGCAGCAGGCAGTAGTCTCGTCGACTCATCGTTATTCCGGCAAGAAACTCGCCCAGCACGGCCGGGGGACCCTTTTCGGCTCGGGATGCAGTGTGTACGTACTGCACACATATAGCTATATAGAGTAGTATAACAATCAGTGCAGCGCCCAGTAGATATAGCGCAGCTTCTGGCATCGCTGCAATTTTCGCACACGAGCTGCTGCTGCTGCCTTCTATACTGGCCAAAAGACCAAACTTTTGCTCTTTCTCTCTCTCTCTCTCTTGCTCGCTTTCTCGTATGTGATCCGTATATTTATAAGCGAATCGGACAGTCTGGGCTTTTCTTCTCCGCCACCCGTGCATTAAGAGAGAGCGAGAGCACATAACACGAGCTGCTGCCCAGTAAAGCTCGCTCGAGCTCGCTCGGTCTGCCCTGCCTCTCGGACGATATGGACAATCTGCTGATTGCGTGGGAGTATGTGCTGTATACGTATATATACATGAAGGTTTCACAAACACCAACAGCTCGCTGCATCACGTATGCACCATGCGGCAATATTTGTACGTGTAGTTTAATCAACAATTATACCACGTGTGCGTCGCACCGGTTATAAAGTGCCTCCTGAATTTCATCGCGCTCGACTTGTTGGTCGCGCAGTTATGCTGCTGTATATTTCGAGCGAGTTAGAGAACATTCGATGCTGCTGCGCGTATAGTACGACACACACACACACACAGACGCACGCATGACCGCGTCGCACGCTCTTGAAATTTATTTATATGCGTCGACGACGACGACGACGACCGGTCGACTGTCAAATCGACTGGAACAAAGGATTTATCGTGTCTCTGTTTTTCATGTAAGGTGATGCATCTGTATATTATCGTTATAAATTTCATTTGTTAGTTGAAAATTGTTCAAATTCGTGTTTCGAATTTTAAGGTCTGACCCTTCAGAGAAAACTATAGCGTTTAAGCGCGCAATCTGCTCCAACTCCGAGTTCAATCAATTAGTTTGTTGCTAGTTCAATTAGCCATGCTTGAAAATTCCTGTAATAACCTTATAATGCAACGAACGAAATTACTAAATTATGCATTCTACAAGCCCCTATAAACTAAACAATATCAAAATAAAAATAATGAATTTGTGATGTAACAGTGTATGAACGCGCGACATGCTGCTGCACGGTGAGTGAGAAAATTGAATTTTCATTCGAAAGTATTTAAAAGTTAGCTCTCTAGTGTTTGTAGCGCGGGGTAAACAAAACAAAAAATAGCAAGAATAGTTATTCCGTCGAGTTCGAATGCAATTCAGGTAAAACTCTGTAACACTACCGAAAACACTCCAATCAACTTTTCAAAGTACTTTCAAGCCCGAAATCCCCAACTTTATCTCACTTACACTTTACAAGTCACTTAGCGCGCTCATAGCCCACTGTGTTTTAGCTCGAATTCCTCATTTTAAGCTATAATTTGTAGCCTTAGCTTTGAAATACTTTTTGTATTCTTGCTTGTGTCAAGTTTAAACAAATTTGTAATTATTCAAATAATCAAGATGATTGACTAACTAACCTGTGACTTGATTCCCATCGGTAATTAAATTTTTTCAATTATGACTCGATACAAGTATTAACATAACTTTTATAGTAATTAGATATTGATAATAAGTATTTCAGTAACAGCAATATTCATCAAGAGTTCCTCCAATAAGGAAGTAGGCAAAACTTTTTATTACAAATCTTATCTCGAGTCACAATTAAGACATAAAATTGAATTAATTGAAGTGTTATTTAACTACACTATTTCAAATTAAACATTCGCGCAAGCTCGCCCGCCTACATATACTGCGTACGTATGTAGCAACGACGCCTGAGCAGTTGGAGTAGCTGCCTACCTATACATGCATATAATAATGAAAGGCTGCAGCTACTGCTACAACGAAGACGACGACGACGATGCCCTGCAGTGCTACTAGGTAGGTAGTACACATACGAATACGAGCTCTTCGCGCTCCAGAGCCGCGAGCGCATGAGCCAATTAATGCCCTCGTATATAGTTGATGATACATACAAATGTAACAACAGTTGTCGTTGCAGCTACAGCACAAGTTTGTGAGTGCGTGACTCAATTCGAGTCTATCGCGCATAGATTACAAAGGGGAGTTTGATTCGACGTCGTATATCGTATATTCGTGTACATTATTTACATGGTGTAAAAATACGCAGCGGATAGACAAGTTACGCGTACACTTGGTTTTTTGTCTTATTGCCCGAGACTCTTTACTACTAATCCGACCCGTTGCATTGTGAAGGCGTCTTTTTTCATGCGTATACAGCTTTTCGCTCGAATTTAACACGCACAGGCAGGCACAAACTGCATACAATCTCTACTTTTTTAATGACTTTTCGATTCTTTTCCGTTTTTGAATATATATAATGGATCGCAAAACGCGAAAGAGAGATAGAGAAGCAAGCGAGGCGCATTGTACGCACGCATTTAAAACAAAGCTCGACTGCGCAGCGCTGCCTATTGCCTGTATCCGTATAGCGGCGCAAAAGGGCTTTATTCGCAATATGCGCCTGGCGCTCGCTGCTTGTTTGACGCTCAGTCGCGAGCGAGCCGAGCGCCACGGAACTGTTGTGTGCATTTTTACGCATAATTGGAGTTCGGGCTAGCCGCCCACGCCACCACCACCACTGTTACGCATATAATACCGTGTCGTTACCCTTCGCTATAATGTATAGGGACGAAAAAAGGGTTGAACAGGGTGCGGTGCGGTGCACGTCGGTGCAAATAATGATCTCGAGCAGTGAGTGCAGCCACACCGAATTTCCTGCCAAATTTTTCCTTTATAGCTGTTGTCTGTTGCAACGTATAATAATCGTAAATGCGATGCACCGCGATGCTCTTCTCCTTCCTCCTCCCCCAGTCTGTGTTATTGTTTTGAATTTGATTCCGGGTATTTTTCTTTTTGTTTACAGCCATATAATATACGACTGCACATTTAGCGGTTGATTAAGCGCGAATTATTTTTTAATTTTTTTCTCTGAATCAAAAATGAGAAAGAGAGAGAGAGAGAGAGAGAGAAGAAACTACATCGGAACAGCGATTCATAAATTTCTTATTATCCACACCGAGATACAATGTAATCGCTGCTTATTCGGGTAAAATACGTCCGAATCACCCGATAAACGCTTTATGAATTCATCGGAAATTCCGACGCATACACTGCACAACGCAACGCCGCGTATCTATCTATCAAACTCTCGGCGCGGCGGCGGCAGTGAAATTGTGTGACGTGCTCTCGCGCAATCGTTGTGTCCGTGTCTACTCATTACTAAAAGAAATAGACATATTACACTACAAATGGAATTAAACCTCTCTCTCTCTCTCTCTCTCTCTCTCTCTCTCTCTCTCTCTCTCTCTCGTCTATGTATCGACGTCAGGCTCAACGAGTAGGCTTATTAGGAATACGTATTTATGTGTCTGTGTGCGTATAATGAAGGAGTCCTTGAATCAACATCAATCGCGTGTATAACGAAGTAAATATTCAAGGAGTGCGGAAATCAACATGCATGCCATTGTACGCTACACGCACACACACACACGTTGTACGTGTACGCAATGAAATTATCTAATCGATCGACAGGCTCACGAGCGCGAATCGACTCTGCGCTGACATGACTGAATACGAGACACGCATGCGATTACCGCTACTTTTCGCAGCTTTTCCTATCTCATTCGACGACGTTACGTTACAAAGGTTTTCTTTTTTTTTCTTAATTGGACGCGTATTTGTGCGTCCGCCTATATGTATGCATGCGTACGTCGTCACATATATAGATATCGCCTGTACACAGCACATAATAAATCGTCTGTACGCGCATAAAATTCAAGCGAAAAAATGACGAAGCACACACATAGAACAGCAGCACGCGAGGCGTCACATCGGTGCTCTGCGCTGTGCGCGCCGCTACTGCACTATAGGCTGCCGATCGCATAATAGGTGGGATGGCAAGAGCGCGACAGAGCGCGAGAGAAGAAAAAAGAGAGAAGAAGAGAAAAAAAAACGGAGAACCGAGGCACGGAGAGAGAATACAATATAAATAAGCAGGCGCACGCAAGGATGTACGTTAATATTTGTTCAGTGCTCTCGCCGATGTGTACTCGCCACTGCTGCGGCCGCTGCTGCTGTTCGGAGTATATATACGCGCGCTCATTATTGGCGCGCAAAATCTTTGTTTGATCGAGACTCTCGAGTTGTGTGCTACTATTTGAAGATAAAAAGGATTTTTGTTCCTCGCGATGTATTATCAGCCCTTACCGGCGCTACTGCTGATAATTTCGGCGTTCGCGGCGATGGCGCCGCGGCTGGTCGACGCCAAAGTTTTCCTCGACGACAGTAACATGATGAAGGGAAGAATCACCGGTGGTGATTACGCGCCCATCACTCAAGCTCCCTATCAGGTAAGTCATTTGGGAAAATTATGCGACGTAGTGATTAGGATATCCGCCCCGATAGACGAAACAAAGCATAACGAAACAAAAAAAAAACCCGTTATCCATGCGCAGGCACAAATCGTTCAGCAGGGCCAAACCATTTGCGGCGCCGCGATCATTTCGGCCGAGTGGCTGGTCTCCGCCGCTCATTGTTTCGGGTGAGTGTATCGATTTCTCGGAGATAGCCAAAACTACCAGCTTGCCAAGATCCCAAAGTGCAATATGTTAATATACATTTTTTTGTCTGTTGTTGTGTTCATTCACTCGCGTGTCTATATACAACAGAGATACATACGGCATTTACGTGATCACCGGATCGACGTTCCGAGGCAGAGGCGGCAGGCGACACCTCATCGATAGGGTCATCATACATCGCAATTACGACGAGGTCACCAACGATCACGACATCTGCTTGGTCAAGGTATTTATCGTAATAAAAAAATTTAACGATCGCGCGATGGTGTATTAATAATGGATTATTATTTTTTTCTTTTTTGTGTGCTCGCTCGCTCGTCCTGTGCAGCTGAGCACGCCGATCAAGTTCAACGAGTATCAAAGGCCCGTGCCGATCTCGAAAACGCCACCCAAACCCGGCGACACAATGATCATTTCCGGTTACGGCAAAGTGGCTGTAAGTATAAAAAAATGATTATGTGGTCACGCGACACGACTCTCGAGGTCCTTCTATCATTATCATCGTTAAAATGGTTGAATCGCTTCACGTTTCGCAGGAACGCCGTGGAGCCTCGCCCATGCTGAAAATCGCCGACGTGCCGATCGTCGATCAGGCCACCTGCGCCAAGCGCTACATCAACGACCCCATCACCAACAACATGTTCTGCGCGGGCAGAGGCGGCAACGACGCCTGCCAGGGCGACTCGGGCGGGCCCGGGGTCATCGACGACAAGCTCGTCGGCGTCGTCTCGTCGGGCATGGACTGCGGCTCGACCTTCTATCCGGGCATCTACACGCGCGTACACAGGTACGCCGGTTGGATACAGCAGCACACGGGTGTCGCGCCCAAGTCCTGATCTCGCGCTTAGGAAAAGTCGTGTGGCGATCGGGACAAAAAAAAAGTTCGTACTTATTGTAACAACAGCACGTGCGCGCAATCCGATTGAGTATTGCGTACGCGCGCGTGAGTGCATGAGTTTGTATGAAATGTAATGTATGTATGTATGCACGTGTGTGTGTGAGTCTTGAATAATTTATCAAAAATTATTCTACCGATTCTGCTTTATTGTGTGCGCGAGAGGATATAATTGACGCGAGTGTGACTATGAATCAAACGATTATGTGATACAAACGCGTACGGAGTGCGAGTGCGTGTCCACGAGTGCGAGTGTGTGTGTATGTAAAGTATAAAGTATCATCCTCTTTCTGAGCTGTACTCTATACGTGCGGGCTTATGTAATTTTTTATATTAGCGATCTTCGCGCGCCAAGAAGATAGAGATAATACAATGCGATACGACGTGCCTCTATTATATCTTAGAAGAACAAAAAGGAAAAAAAAATTAATATGTATTTAGTCACTCGGTTGTAAATTATTTCAATTTTAACACTCATATTCACTGCATCGCAAGCTTTCCTTCGCAATTCGACGACGCGACCACCACTCGAATCTCACCGCGGAATCGGCGCGCGAGCTCATACTATGCCATTAAAAAGTCACTCGACTATCCGTATCTTGTCTGTGATTATGTAAAAAAAGAAGAAGAAGAAGAAGAAACAATAAAAAAAAGAAGGATATTATTCATCGATTCGAGATTGTGCACTTTTATAACGATCGCTGTACAAAACGTATGGCTTTTCGCGAGATTAGTCAATATATGACTCGTTACAAGCACGATAATAACGTGTACAGTATATCGTGTAAAATAATTGCCACACGTGTTAGCGTTGGCGACGTTGAAAAACAACACAAAAAAAAAATAAGGATAAAAAGAAGAAGATCCGTCCGATCGTATTCCTCGATAACAGCTGTTCAGTACCGTCTCCGCGGCTTATGTAAACCGTATATTTTATTATTTATATTTTCTTCGACACCACTGTACATTTATAAACGCCGTTATACTTATATAGCGACACGTGCCTTACATAAGTGCATTTTTATTTTTATTTTCCTACTTTTTTTTATCAGGTTTACCCGACACAAGTGTGCACTGCGGGTATATATTATTAAACGTTCCAGTTTTTTCCACGGAGTGTCTTCTCGACACACCAGGATATATGCATGCGCATTTGTTTTACTATGCCGTACATCATATAAGCCGAGCTACGAGGACGAAGAGAGGCTTTTTTTTCATTCAAGTGGTATATCGATATTGAATTTGACGTTGCATATACACACCATATTGGGGACGAATAAAGGTACTCGCGGGAAATTCGCGCTGAGAGAGAGAGGATGAAAAGTATGGTAAGAGAAAAAATGTATCTCGGAAAGTCAACGTCATTGCCCAAAGCACTTCGGATGTGTGTAGCGCGCCTATTTATTATGTCATGAGTGTTCGAGTGTGCATACATTTTTTATATCTCCGTATTACAAATTGTATACGACTTTGTATTGTATATTTTATACTTTGTTATCCGCTATGTGCAATAAATAATGTTCTCGTGTTTGTTGTCGTCGTCTGCTCGAGACAGCCGCACCAAAAGAGAGATAGAAAAAATAGAAAATATATGCAGGTAAAATTGAATCATTTGTGTTACGCTATATCGTCAAAAAATATCGCTTGGCCCACCGTACCGGCTGCAGTTGGCACTGTCAGGATGAATTTGCCCTGGACAAAAAAAATGTCGCAGCGACTTCCAGCGAGAGAGAGAGAGATGGTATTATAATATGAATACGGGTCAGTAAAAACAGATGGAACTGTGCTACGGATTTTCTACGTCTGCGTGTGTATCAACGTTGAGAAAACTAGTGTACACACGGGACGTCTTGGGCAAATACTAGTTTCTCAACTTGTCGCGCGCACAATATTATCACGCGGTAAAAATCTGAACTACTGAATCGCGCGAGCTGCGAATAAAAGGGCGCAAAAGTGTTACACGTCGTTGCTACAGCAGCAGCAGCGACTTTGCTGCGCGAAAAAAGGGGATGGGCGCGAAAAAAAATCTCGATTTCTTCGTCGTCGTTTGCCATTCGAGCTGGCAAAGAGAGAGTGAGAGAGAGAAGCCTTTGAAAGTGTCACACGAAAAAAGCAGCCACACCATTGCTGCTGCCCGTGTACGTAATGTATATCGGGCGTACTGTACGTAAACGCCTATGCGCATAGGACAAGAGAGAAAGAGAGATGAACTTTTTCAAAGTGCGCCCGAAGAAAGAGGAGAACGAGCGAATCGTTATAAGTACGTGTCAATAATATCGCGCAGTCAAAGCTATTTACGAGGAAGAAGTTGATGTGTTTTCTTTGTTCGAGACGAGAAAAATATGGCGCTTGACATGATATTTGTATAAGTAGACCCTCTCGATCTCCGCGACCGTCGCGGTGGGAGATATCGATTCAAGGGAACACTTTATATATACTTTTCTTATACACTACTTTTTATAAAAAAAAAGTATATTCGACGATTAAGCTTACGATAAGAGCCGCTAACGAGACTCTCATTGAAAAAACACTGACGACCATAGAGAGAGACACGGCTCTCGCTTCCGCTTCAAATTTTCAGACGACTACGACGACGACGATCGCGGATCGAAATAATCCCTTTCCCTTCCCTGGAATTCCGAGTTCTTTTTCATGTTTAATGTGTAAGCTCGTTTCGGAGTATACATATAGTATATCGGAACTGCCGAAATTCTGTTGCACTTCTGGACACGAATTCGTAGGAAAAATATGTAATATTTATTTGCGTCGTATAGGCGAACGCTGTATTTATAATATTACAAAGGTCGAAATTTCATAATTCGCACGTCGCAAAAGACAAATGTTTGACCTTCCGAGAAGTGGAATTGCAACTCGAGTCATCCTGGTATAGTGCGACTGTCGCCTTCTACAAATGCCATAATATAATGATAAAAATTCACGATGCGTCCGAGGCCTTGTCAGCGCATACATGCACGATCCGCGTGCGTGTCTCTCCGTTTCTTTCTTTTCTTTTTCTTTAGTTATTTATTTTTTTGTTCTCTATAATTGATATTCGCATGCAAATGTTATAACGCGCGCGCCAACCATCAAAGTCAACGAGTCGAGGAAGCCGCCGCCGCTACGAATTATAATGATAAATCGCAGCGCATAATATATGACGCGTGAAGGAGCACTCATTGGGACGATAATAAATACGAAAATAAAATCCACGCTCGTGTATGCACTCCTACGCACCTACGAAACACAAAGGAGATTTCCGTCGTATGGGACTGTAATATAATGCGAATCGAGCAATTATTTATTTCGATATATGCAAACGCCAAACAAGCCGAATAGAACGTGTGTGTGTGTGTGTGTGTGTGTGCATGAGAGATGATGACGATGATGATGATGACGACGACGCAGCGCAAACTACTGCAGCAGCGGCCGTAGTGGTGCTGTTGCTGCTCTGCTGCGTAGCTCTGCCTCCGTCGTGCATTGAACTCCAAGAGCGGCAGGCGCGCAGGCTGCGTCAGAAACCGCACGGATGCAGATGGCTGAATTATGTCGTGCGTTTATGCGCGCCCGGAGAAACTATAATCGCGCCGAGAATTTTGCGGCCACCCACCGAAACCTCGAGCGAGGAGAGAGAGAGAAACGCGCGTAGGATATATTATAAAGAGGATTGAATTTGCGGCGGTGGGCGCGCGTAGTGCGAGCGATTTTATTTTCTGTCGCTCCTTTTTAATCGACTCTTCGAGATTCGAGAATAAGAATGAGAAATGAGAGAGATCGATGACTCGACACTGTGTCCTTAAAAATCATAAAGGAGGCTATTGTCCCCTTACCTTCAGTATGACGAAGTCCATCTCGTTGATTCCGATGACTGGTTTCATCCAATATATCCGATGTATGCTACTTCGTCAGCGATGCAAAGAAGTGTGAAAAAGTTGCCGTGGGTACCTGCACAGTTGTTGCACCCTGTGCTGCTGCAGCCCGTGCACGAACGAGCGGCTCGTCGATCGATTCACGGCCGGAGATCATCGGCGCATAATGCGACCGTTGGATGGATCTCGTCGGTGCAGCGATCGAACGCAGTAGAAGAGGTTTTTATTTCAAACTAATGAAATCTTCACGCACATATTATTTTTTATTCTTTTGCTCATTAAAGAAACAAACACAGATCAAAACATAAACAGATCGGAGATCAAAACAAACACTGAATACTTTGTTTTTACCCGCGATCTTCACCTGTTTTTTAAATTAACGACGAACGATAGTTCATGCGCACGATTAAGTCGTCGGTTATTCAATTTTTCATAGGCGACGCGATGTGCCGGTTATCATTAATTTTTTTTGTATACAAAACAAGCTCCGATTTATTCGTCAGAGAACACAAACACCATCCGTTTTCTTATGTTGAAATTCATCCACATATACATACATACGCGCAGGCTCGGCGGTCGAGCAACGACTGCGGCACTGCTGCCGCCCGCCGCGAGAAGAGATCGTCGGCCCGGCACGGCGCGGCGACAGTTGCCGCACACCGCGCGATGCACGTTCGAATACGCGCTTTGAAATTCAGTGCGCAGAAATCGCGCTTGGGCCTCGCGGATTATGCGCCGAGTGCTGCCACCTGTGGGCGAGTTGAGCATCGACTCGTCATTTAGCGAAAGAACAAAAACCGGCCGAGTGATATTCGAGAGTGCGGCGAAATAAGGGGTTTCAAGGATGCACGCGCGCCTTTATGGGTGGATGTGGCATTGTGAAACTCCGAAAATCCGGAGTAAGATTAACGAACAAAGACAAACTGGTTTCGGTGTTCGACTTGCATATATTTCAATCGTGTGAGTTTGAAAGTACATTTTTAACAATAAGCAAAATTAAATTCATATCTTTTTTTTTTTACATTTATAAAAATCTTTCTAATATTTATAGGATACGAGCATAAGCTTAATAATAAGATATGTATGTACATGACTAGATTTTTTTTGTATAAAAATTATGGAGTTTTGATTTTTTTGTATCAATATTGCACTTCTTTAAAGGCTTCTCCAAAATTGGATTTGCTCACTAAACATTGAGCGTGCTTTCAAAAAGATCAAGCATTTTTCTCATTTCTTTTCTGTAAAGGAAAAATGATCAATCAATGTGAGAAAAATAAAGTTATTTTAGTTAGTATGTCTGTTACACTTACATTCTTTCAGACATTTTATAAATTCCTGCCATTGACTTGGAAAGCTCTTCAGTCTTAGCCATTAACTGATACATTGCTTTGATATTGAAATCTACAGAATCACAGGTCTTACAAACGGCATCTCTGTAAGTTTCCAAACAACCAACTGTAAGTGCAGATGCCTGAGAAAAATTGAGTATATTTTATTTACTCTCATAAAAATTTTTCAGTAAATACGTAGAACTTTTTTTTGCTTACACTGTGTAGTATTGCTGCCAAGTTTTCAGTTATAGAATCAACAGATGTTGCAACTTTTCTAGCCTCATTTTCAAGTTCATTCAAGATGTTATGATCTGAACAGGGTAGCTGTGGTGTTAAAGCTTGTCTATACAAATAAGATACCGCATTTCTTGGTTCAAGAGACATCATAGAATCTCCTTTTCTAGTCACAGGACTTGATAGTTTTATTTTATTCTCCAAATCCCCTGCTACAAAACTCACCATATCACCTTCCTTTGTCACAGTACCTTCGGATTGTAAATAATCAAGCGACTTCTGGTAGTTAGCAAACTTTGAATCCGTTGTCTGTTCGTTCTTGCGACTTAAATTCAAACAATCGGGTCTGTTACCAACAATACCAGACTTGATAGTATCGTTTGGGGAATATTTATTCATCTCTGAGGAATGTATCAGAGAGTTGACATCAACGTCGGGAGACGACGACGACGATTGAGAATCAAAAGATATCTCGGAGTAAGAAGCAGTCATTTCCTGCAACTGAAAATAGAGCTTGATTTTAAAAATTTGCACAAATACGCCGCTAAAATATCCATACGTTAACCTTACTTTCTCATCTTCGTAGACGCCCTTTTCGGGAACTTTTTCTTTATCACTCATGATTATTACGATTAATTTATATCAATTGCACGCAAGAAGTTCAATCATAAAACACCACTTCGAGATCAATGATTCGGACAAGACAGCTCTCCTCCTGTCATTATCTATTTTGTAAAGAAAACGCAGAATACGTCATGTGTCTGCCGCACATGAAATACGGAGTCGACTGCTGAGCTCTCCTCCACGCGTAGCGGAGTACCGAACCGATTCGTATTGCAGAAAAACTGAAATTCATGCCTATCGTTTTCTCTATTTATATTTTCAGCCGAACGAAGTGTCGTGCATGGCTGCAATCGCAGTATCGAGAACACACGAGCCGGAAAGGTGTGCGCGCAAGGTCTCGATGATCTCGAATTACGTCGATCGTCGTTCTCGCCGTCATCAATTAAATCCAAATGTCAAATTACGAATCCGTGTGGGCAGTGACAGCTCGATTCAGTTGCACAGTGCGTATAAAATAATTGCACAGCACCGTTATGAAGCGGCCCTTAAATCTGCATGATAATAACCTTGAGTTGTCATTCGCTCGGCGAGCGGCGGCTGAGATAGGTGCGCGTACGAAGCCAAAAACTTGTTGATATAACTTCGCGATCGTCGTGTTTTAAATTTCCCCGTTCGAATAGGGCTTGCGAGCCAACGAGCGTGAAATCGATCGACGATGGGTGGAAAGTGGTCGGCACTGGATCCCGCGCAAGTCGTTGTTCCGCAATTACACGATCTCCTGAACAGAGATCCGTACTTGAAGCCGTACGAGAATGAAATAAAAAAGAGGTAAGTAGATTTCAATTGGTGCGTTCTAATTTTTTGTTGCAAGCTCTCAGAATCATATTGATGAAACAAATTAGGTGGTTGATATCTTATGAGATAAATTTTTACAACTTTTTCAAGAAAATATTCAAATTTTCTGAAGAATAATGAAGATTGGATCTTCTGAAAATGAAATCGTTTGACACTTTTCACTTATTGTTTTGTCTACACAAGTTTTTTCTGTGAGATTAATAATTTCGAGATTACAATGCTATCACGTGTACTTACTTAATGCTACATTTATATTGACCAGACTATATCACTCAATATTTTACTCGGTACTTTTGATAAGCTATCATGGAACTTTTGAAATTTTTATCATCATCGGTAACATTATTTTGGTACTATGCAATGACGGAAACTATATTTTAAATCACAGATATGCTCTGTACTTGGATTATATCGATAAAATAAAATGCGGAGAGAAAACATTGGACGCTTTCACGAAATCTTACAACAAATTCGGCGTCCACGTGAATGCCGATAATTCAGTTACCGTGAAAGAGTGGGTACCAGCCGCTAAACAGGTCTTTCTCACAGGAGATTTCAGTGAGTTTAAAGTAAACAATTTTAATTATCTCAAGAATTAACAAAAAAAATTTCCTACGTAGATCATTGGAACAGAAACTCGCATCCGTTCTCCAAATTGGAGTTCGGTAAATGGGAGCTTCACATACCGCCGGAAAGCGATGGCTCGTGCAAAGTCAAACACCTGTCCGAGATCAAGCTGATCATCGAGGGCCCGGATGGGAATTACATCGAGAGGCTCAGCCCGTGGGCGACTTACGTCGTGCCTCCGAACAATCCCTCCACGGATGGTTTCAATTACCGTCAGAGAATCTGGCATCCGGAAAATGTTCGTTTACAAATGGTTAATTGTTTTTTTTTAACACATTTAAAGTAACGCATCTGTCGCGTACTTAGAAATACGTGATGAAACATCCGAGACCGGCCAGACCCCGTAGCCTGCGCATCTACGAGTGTCACGTGGGCATCGCCACCCAAGAGGAGCGAGTCGGCACCTACTTGGAATTCTCGCGCGACGTCATCCCGCGCATCGTGAAGCAAGGCTACAACGCCATCCAGCTGATGGGCATCATGGAGCACGCCTACTACGGCTCGTTCGGCTATCAGGTGACCTCGTTCTTCGCCGCCTCGTCGCGTTACGGCACGCCCGAGGAGCTCAAGGAGCTCGTCGACACGGCCCACGCCAACGGTCTCTACGTGATGCTGGACGTGGTGCACTCGCACGCCTCGAAGAACACCCTCGACGGTCTGAATATGTTCGACGGCACGGACGCTTGTTACTTCCATTCGGGCAAGAGGGGACAGCATCCGTTGTGGGACAGCAGGCTGTTCAATTACGGCGATTACGAGGTGCTGCGTTTTTTACTGTCCAATCTAAGATGGTACATCGAGGAGTACGGTTTCGACGGTTACAGGTATTATACGAAAAAAATTACAAATCAAAGGCTTCGCTGTTTACATCGTGTTTTCTTTTTTATTATTTGCAGATTCGACGGCGTGACCTCGATGCTCTACCACTCTCGAGGACTGGGCCAAGCCTTCGGCGGCTCGTACGACGACTACTTCGGCTTGAACGTAGATACCGAGGGCATCGGTTACATGATGCTCGCCAATTACACGCTTCGCGAGTTCTACCCGCAAGTGATCACCATAGCCGAGGACGTCAGCGGTATGCCCGGAATCTGCCGTCCGGTGGACGAGGGCGGCGTCGGTTTCGATTATCGTCTGGCCATGGCCATACCCGACAAGTGGATCAAACTGCTCAAAGAGGTGAAGGACGAGGACTGGCAGATGGGCGACATCGTCTGGACCCTGACCAATCGCAGATGGATGGAGAAGACGGTGGCATACGCGGAGTCGCACGATCAGGCCCTGGTGGGCGACAAGACCCTGGCCTTCTGGCTGATGGACAAGGACATGTACACCTCGATGAGCGTGATGAGTCCACCGAATCCGGTCATAAATCGGGGAATCGCCCTCAAGAACATGATCACCCTGATAACTCACGCGCTGGGCGGCGAGGGATACTTGAATTTTATGGGCAACGAATTCGGACATCCCGAGTGGCTGGACTTTCCACGAGCCGGTAACAACGAGAGTTACAAGTACGCCAGGAGGCAATGGAATCTCCTGGACGACGAGCTGCTCAAGTATAAATTCATGGCTAATTGGGACGCAGCGGTGAATAGGCTCGAGAGCAACTACGGATGGTTGAGTAGCGATCCCGTAAGTATCGTAAAAGGTTCCAAGTTTTTGAAAAATCCTGAATAATTACTATATTTATTCATCATATTCAGGCTTACGTGTCGTGGAAGCACGAGGACGACAAGGTGATCGTCTTCGAGCGCGCCGGCCTCGTGTTCGCCTTCAACTTTCACGCCACCAAGTCGTTCGCCGACTATCCCCTGGGCGTGCACACGCCTGGAACCTACTCGGCCGTGCTGAGCAGCGACGATCATCAATTTGGAGGCGAGCAACGCGTCGACTCGAGCGTGCGACACTTCACCCGGCCCGAACCGTTCGCCGGCCGAGATCACAGTATGCAGGTCTACGTGCCCAGTCGCACTGCTATTATTTACGCGTTGTGTGCCTGAAACGAGGCACGTCGAGAGCACAAAGTAATATGCAAATGTAATGTTTTGATATTGATGTAAACATCTGCATACATGCTGTTTTGTGTAAGAAAAAAATCGAAATTTTAATAAAAATGTATGTTTTGTTACTTCGCCAAATGTACGAACGTTATTGTCGTTTTATTTTAATTTTATATAAATTTTAACAAACAATTATTCGATTTTCTATTTCCTTTAAAATTGAAATATGATACCGTATCGAAATAATAAGTGGGTCAACGTACACCGGTCATGTCACACATTTAAATAACCCGCTTTTTGAACTCGCTTAGCAGACGACGCGGGGTTAGTGTCTCGACAGATTATGCATGTGTTTGCCACGGTGCAGATGCTCTACGCAACGTGCCGTGTATTTTCATCGCGACTAGATGTAAATAAATATGAATTTTTTAAATAAAAGACTATTGACGCTCGTGAGGACTGTCGAGAAACCAAAGTACACGCATCTCCGAGATGCATTAAAGCAATACACAACCAAAGTGGTGGATGCGACTCCCAAAGTTGCGGATGCTGCTGCAGTGCCTAAAGTCGAGGAGGAGGAACTGAAAGGCATGAAAAGAATAGGTAAACATGAATTTTTTTTTAATTTTATGATGAATATTCGACAGATTTTGATGGTAAAAAGTCATGATCCAAGTGTTTAGTTTTGACACTTGCCATGTGTAAACAATGTCATAAAAGAATCTTTGATTTGACGTGTTTTGGTACAATGTGAATAATTGTTTTGAGTGACACTTGCAACATTTTGTTTCAGTTAAATTTTGGAAAAACGTTTATAGGGACTACAAAGATGTTGCAATAGATGTTTATACTGAATGCAAAGAAAAACCTCTTAAATTACTAACATATCTTACTGGTAAGTAATTTTTTAAGAATTTATTGATGACTTAGCTATCTCTGTACTTAATGACTTGTCTTATTTCAGTTGGAACTAGTCTGACATACTGTGCGCAACACAATCCTGATGAGAGATGTTTCAAAGAGCAGCTTGTTCGCTCTGAAGAAAAACTTCTTTCACTTGGAGAACCCTTGAGAAATCCATCGAGCGTCTACTATGTCAAATGGCTGCATCAATCTGAAAATGAAGGAACGATACGAGTATTGAATTGTATATTCTTTTCGTTGCTTTGGTTAGATAATTACGATCAGAGGGTAGCAGTGTACAAAGCTCAGTGTGATGCTTTGCAGCCAGGTTTGTTAGACTTTCATAAAAGGATTATTGACATTGGCTTCCTTGATTACTGGTGGGTTTTAGAGAATAGCATGATAGATTATGACATAAACAATGATAATTTACCTCAAGAACTACCACAAAAGAATGAAAAAGAAGAAGAGAAAGAGTAATCAATTTGTATAATAAAGTTTAGATTGTTATTATTGTTACTTCATATCTTTAATGTCCTAAATCACTTGTAATTATAGAAACAAATTTGTTGTTATGTAGAACGTTTATGAAGTGCAGCTGGATAGTCAATTATGATTGTACATACATACAAAAACATCAAAAAACAATAAAATTATTTAATTTTAAAGACCCCACTGTATTTGAATAATTGGCTAAATTTTATGATTGAATCTATCTCAAATGAACAGCACAGTGAAAAATCGCAGCAGCGCCATCTCGCCAGCTACGACGAAAAACCCAAACGAATACCGCACGAATGACATTAGACATATGCATACGTCAAAAGTGCGACAATGCTCGGGCAGCATTTTCTCGTACTTATCAACCAAATGTTGTCATAGTTAAAATACATTCCAATCAATTAGTATAGTTATGAAGCGCCATACTTGTTTCGATGATACTTATCGAGTTTTACGTTAAGTGCAGAGCCCCTACGACGCTACGGAATTATGTTTCGAGTTTGTTATCAAACTAAAATCTTACAGGTGTGCCTTGTTATGATCGAATTGACGTAATTGTAATTACGTTTTGTCGCTCGGTACTGTGAGTTTTCATGAAATTTTGCAACAAAAATGGAGCCCGGAACGTTTACGGTCGTACTGCGTGACTTTATCACAGTGCAAGAAGGAGAGTTGAGTCTGAATAAAGGAGAATACTTTTTGGTAGGGTACATAATGTTTTTAATTAGTTTTAAAATGTCAATTTTGTATTGAGCAATTTGTCAATTTTTCCATTTTCGACTGAACTTGGTATGTGCTCTTTTATTTTACAGATTTATAAAATTGAAGATAAACATTGGTGTTCGGGACAGTCCAATAACAAATTTGGCAAATTTCCTTCCAGTAACTTGATGAAAGTTGAATTACCTGCCACAAACGATGACGAAACAATATTTGTCACTATTGCTCCATTTTATAGTAAACAGCCGGGAGATTTATCATTTGCTCCAGGTACAAATTGCTGCACTGCAATTTTTTTATGAAAACTTGTATACTCAAGTTCATTGTTTTACAGGAGAAATTATAGTAGGCAATACAAAAGCTCCGCATGGCTGGTTTTCTGGATGCATTGGACCAAGAAAAGGAATGTTTCCAGCTAATCATGTGTGGCAGCTAGATTTTAATGTTATTCAAGTAATAATATTTGTAATATTGTAACTTCTTTCAATTACATCAGTGTTCTAATGTCCACTATGCTATAAATTTTCAGCGGTTAAACAAAGAAACTCTCAAAAAGAAAAATTTTGTAAAAAAAGCTAGAGTTAAAGCAAATCTTGAACCACAACTCGATGAAGAATTAAAGTTAGTTGAAGGAGATATAGTGATTGTAACAGAAGTTCTTGATGATGGCTGGTGCAGGGGTCGTACAGATTATGGTAGAGTTGGAATTTTTCCAGAAAGTTTTATTACTTACTTAGATGATGAAAATGATGACCAAATAGATGCAAATTTAGATTATAATAATTTTAATACTCATTCAATTTCTCCAATTACTGCTAACTACTTGGATAATTTTAAGGAAGATAATATGAATACCATCAGTCAAGATGTTTGCGATGATGCACCTATTAGTTATGATGAATTATTCCCAGATTCTAAACCAAAATATGATGATTATTGTAATAATGTGCCTCATCAATCTAGTTCAGAACCTCATGCTATTACATTATTTCCATTTGTAGCTCAATTTCCAAATGAACTAAGTTTTGAAGCAGGACAAGAAGTAAAATTAATTAAGCATGTGGATAATCATTGGACAGAAGGTGAAATAGATAATGTAAGGGGAATTTTTCCTGTGTCTTATGTTAACATTATCATAGACTGTGTTGATTCGCAAACTGAAAAATCAAATGAAGAATCTAATGAAATATCAAATGAAGAAAGTAATCAAATCCAAGATTTTCTTAAGCCTAATGATTTTGTAAAAGTTGAATTCAAGTTTGATGCTCAAATGGATGGAGATTTGAGTGTATCTGAAGGGGAAATTTTGACTGTTGTTGAAATGGTTAATGCTGATTGGGTCACTGTAAAAAATAATGCTCAACAAACAGGATTATGTCCTAGGAGTTATTTAACAGTTTGTGAAAACTTAGATAATGAAGAACACAATAGCACTCTGGAAGATTTTGTTGTAATCAGAAACAAAGATGATCCTAACTCTGATAAAGTGAGACATGAAATCCAAAGTTTGTCTGAACCTCATCGGCCAGCACCTCCTGCCCCTTCTCCAGGCAGATCACCATTAAAAACCTCTAGCAATCAATCATTAGATTCGATAGATAAAAAAAATTGTGAATCTATAGACAAAAAAAGAGAAGACCAAAGAAAACATGTTATTTCAGAATTATTTATTACAGAAAAAGATTTTCTTAGGGATATGAAAATAACTTTTGAAACATTTAATTTGCACAGACCTTCATTCCTAGAGTCAAGAGGTATTGATGTAATGACTTTATTTGGGAATATCAATGAAATTATTCAGGTTTCGGAAGAATTGTTAAATTCATTACAAGTAGCATTAAATGTCAAAGATGAATATAAACAAACTATCGGAGAAAGTTTTCTAAACATTGCTGAAAAAATGAAAACTGTGTATGGAAAATATTGTAACAATTACGAATCAGCATTGGTGCTACTGCAAAAAGTATGATTCTAATCGTCATTTTTTATTCACTTATTTTATATATGCTCAATGAATTTAATTCGCTTTTCATTTTAGTATGAAGAAAACAAAGACATTATGAGGATTTTTGACAAAGCGGTTGAAACATTAAAAATGCAAATAATATGCTTTGATGTAAATTCAATTTTAATCAAACCAGTCCAAAGAGTTCTGAAGTATCCATTAATTTTAAATGAACTGTTCAAGGTATTTTAATTTATTTTTAGAATTTTTCCTTATTATATTAATTAATTTTGATTAATTGAACATGAAAATAAAATCAGTGCACAGATGATCATCATCCTGATAAACCAACGATTCAAGAAGCAGCAACTGCCATGACAGCTGTTGCTACACATATTAATGAATACAAAAGGAAAAGAGAAATATCTTCCAAATATTTAAATTCCAACAGTACCATAATCGGCAGAATGGCGAATCTTAATATGCATACTTTGTCGAAAAAATCTTCGAGATTAGGCGCAAAATTATCAGCTACCCTTGGTTTGACCAATTTACAAGCAGATTCCGAATTCGAAGATTTGGTTAAGGACTTTATGTCGTTAGAGAAAAACACGAAACAACTACTCAAAGACGTCGAGCTTTGCATTTCAAATTTGGATAACGAAAGTTTCTGTAGTAATGTACTTGTCGAACAATTGCATCAGTACTTCACGGGCTCTTGCTGCAACGAAATTTTGCAACTTCTCGAAGTTGGAAACATTACGAGATCCAATTATCTACCAGACTTTAAAAAATCAGTTGAACAGCGGGTTATACTTCCACTGAATAATCTGATACCCCTTCTGTCTGGTCCTGAATTATTGATCCAAAAGAGGCACGACAAAATGCTCGATTATGACACTGAGATATCGAGGAGTGAAAAAACCAAAGAAAGAGGAAGTGTAAGTATAACATTTTTATTTCTCGTTTCATTGGTTTCGAACGACAAAATATTTATTCGATTTAAACCGATTTCAGATGACAGAAGATCTTATGAATGCTAAAAGTAATTTTGAGGCATTAAATCAACAATTGTTAGAAGAGCTTCCTATATTTATTAAATACTCTACTGTGATTCTTAACAAGTGCATACACGCATTTGCTTATGCCTTCAAAGTTTATAATGCCAAAATAATGAAAAATTACTTAGTTGTCATGGAGGTAATAAAAACATTTTATCTGTTTCACACTGATATCGATTTGATGATGATGTTTTTATCGACTTTTCAGGCGACTTCTCCAGTTTTAGAAGAAAACATTCAAGAAAATTTCTTCGTGTATCACACTTTATTGTACAATCAAATTAATCGACTATGCTACGGAGGTACCAATGCTCGACTCGGTGAAATCGAAAACAGAGACAGCCTGTGCTGCATGCAATCCCCGATGGACAAGGAGGCCGTCAGGCAAAAATATCCTCCGAACAAAGTCTACGTCGTGACTCAATCCGTCAACGGCGCCACGTCGCACGATTTGTCCGTAACCAGAGGTACCCTGGTCGGAGTGATAAAGACTCAGGATCCAATGGGCAACACGTCGAAGTGGTTCGTCGATAACGGCGCGAGTAAAGGATTCGTAGACTATCAGTATCTGAAAATCAGCGAGGAGGTGGCAAATTTCAAGGAAGAAAATACTAATAATTGCGCGGTATCTCCGGTATCCTCGGAGAAGGACAAAGATTCGATTTACTTAATGTCGCTAGATTCTCCGGAAAAGAAATCGAACTATAGTGTTTCCAGGTACCTTAATTTAGATGATAATTTTGTTGAGGCTGAAAGTGAGAATATTTATCAGAATATTTCTAATGAAGTAAGCTGAAATAACTGTTTATACATTACGCAATAACCAGAAATTGTTCTTTAAAATTCAATTTTTTGTTTACAGTTTGTTTACGCGCTTTATGACTTTAATAATCCAAATCTTCAGGGAACCCTCTCTATTACCGAGGGTCAAGCGCTGAAAGTGATAAAGAAGCACGATCACAAAAACAACGATCAGTGGTGGCTGGTCGAGGATCGCCAGGGAAACAAAGGATACGTTCCTCACAATTACGTCGGGAAGAAAGAATTTTAATGAAAAAAGTGTCTTATTAGCTTGAGCTTTAATGTGCTTCTTGTTTTTAATTGTAAAAATTTATTCGTGTAAAATATTTTTATTATATTTATTGTTTTTTATTTTACTTTATACAGACGAAACGTGCACTGCAATATACAAAAAAGAAAAGATTTATAAATACAGATTATAATAAACGAGATATTTTATAAATCGAGTCGGTACATTTAATTTGAAACTAAATGAAATGGAGTTTTAAATTGTGTTTTTTCAAGTCTAATTGATTTATTTACAGTGAAAGTAAAAAAATCCTTTACAAAATTCGATTTCTAAATTCGTTGCCATCCGTCCTCCACGCGGAACTCGGCACCGCTCGCGTCGTTCTGCTGACACTTGGTGCCCTCCACCAAATCATCGACGCTTCCTCTGATCAGCCTGAAATTGATCTCGTTGATCTTTCTCGAATTGTTGATGGTCTTCTGCAGCCTATTGGTATTGAACCACAGCTCCTCGGTACCCTCCGCATTGACCAGGACCTTCATGCCACTGATGTACTGCAGCAGTCGGGGATTGCGCGCCACGACGACGACGTTCTCGGGCTTGAAGGGCTGGCGCACGTTCCAGCAGGCCAGGGCGGTGAACTCGGCCAGCTGGAAGAACATGATGCCGTTCTTGGAGATGGCCTGGACGCCGGCCTGGCTCTGGCGTTTCGCGAGTGACTGATACATTATGGGCTCGTAGACGAAGCTGCGCTTGAGCGAGTCGGATTCGAGGACTTTTTGATAGAAGCTCGCCAGAGAGTTGAAGTACAGATACCTGTTGGGTGACGGATTAGTTAAAGAGATCAATCATTATCATTAATCATTATCGTAATTAACCAACCTCTTAGGGAATAATCCACGCGGCGTCAGAGTCATACCCAGGGTACCATCCGTCAGATCAATGCTCTCTCCCTCGATCGTAATTTTTCCTGCTTCGGGATCGTTACCAAATGCATTGTTAACGGTATTATTCAGCCTCCAGGATCGATTCAATCTCAGATCATAGACGAGAATTCCGTGCTTGAGAACATCCGCGACGTAGAGGTACGTGTCTTGGCAAGTCTTACCGACCTCCACAATAGGATTAACGTAAGATGCTTCGTTGTTCACCGTTTGACGCTCGGGGATGATGTACTTGAGAAGCAGCTTATCGGTTTTGAGGTCGAAAGCCAAGATCTTTGATGGGCAGACGGATTTGCCGCTTGCGCTGCCGGTGTCGACCATCCACAGTCGATCGCATTCGTCGATCTGTATAATTTATTTAATGATATATAGATCGTACTGAGCTGCCGTCGAGTTATAATTTTTTATTATACGACAGTTGCGTATACGCGAATTTCTTTCACTTTCACCTATTATGTACATTATTTTTTTCTAATGACACTCACCGCGACTCTGTAAACGGAAACGATGCTGTCGCAGTCGCCCGCCTTGTGCCAAGTCCAGTCCGGGTAGGGCGTGAGCAGGGGACCGCCCAGGCCGTTCTGATTCGTGATGAGCGACAGGGTAACCGGAGTACCCTCGAGCCACTGCGGACTCGTGACGAAGACTCGACCTCTCGAGTCGATGTCGACGTCCTGCGTCAGTGGATTGCCCAGGGTGAAGTTCTTGCCGGTGCGCTCGACCGCGCCCTGCACCCAGTCGAGGTAGGACCACTGGAAGACGGTCTCGAGGCGGTACTGGCGAGGAAAGCGGCTCATCGGCGGGAAGGGCGCGCTACCCGCTTGAAATTTATGCTCGTCCGTGGAGATTCCATCGTAGTAATTATCGTGGCGACGATGATCGCGATGATGATGATGATCGTGACGATAGTCGATGTCTTCTCGCGATCGGAACGGGAATACCGGCGATTTGGGCGTGATCGGTGCGTAGTGATAGCAGTGACCGAGGCTGAAGATCGCTGCCAGAAGAAGCAGCATCGTTGCGTATCCCATTTTTTTTGTCCAGCTGTCTCGAATGCACGGATTATTTTATCTTGCTCGAATTTCGAAACTTAAAAATACAAAAGTAAAAGAAACGTCACTATCTATGCCCCCGCGAAGTCACACAAGAACTGTGTCGGGACGCGAGCGGGAAACTTTCGTTCGTAACCCGGAGGAGATTAATTTCACATCTTTAACAAATACATTTGGTGCTTTTATCAATTGAAATAATAAAAATCCGAAAGTTTCTTGACAAAGAGACAACAAGCAACTGTTGCCGAATATTATCTACTCTACCTGTCAATTTTTCATATTACTTTAATTTTTTCGTTATGTTGCATAAAAAAAAGCTCGAGTTCGGCTCGTCGCACAACTCAAGTGTGTGTTACGTTTGTTTACCTTAATATTTATTTTTATTTGCCAAAGATAAAAAATATTCCAAGAATAAATTGTTACATAAAACAATAAAAAAAAGATTAGAATTGCTTAATTTGTATCTTACTAACTGCGTTTGACCGTAAATCAGCTGCCACTCGTGAAAGTAAGTATATAAAAATAAACCGACGAAGTGCGATGCGCTGCACTGTGCAGGCCCTCGTGCACTCGCGCGCGCGCAAACTATACGCTAATATTAGAATGAAATTTTTCTTATGGCTATATCGCCGAGAAGCTGAGCAAACACTGCATCCGATTGATCTGTAATTTCTTCGGTAATAAGCATATTATGATAATCGATGTCGAAAGATATATTTTTCTAGTTTCCCCCGCGCGCTGCTGCGCACTCATAAATAATTAATCATTTTTACCTTACTTTTCTTCGATCCGCAATCAGCGTTAATGCACCGAGAGAGTCATTATGTACACGATGCAGCCACTCGCGCACGCGAGAGAGAGAGAGAGAGAGATGCCACTCAAGGATGCAATGACCTTACGTTAATAATGTGTAACACGTACAACAACTTCACTCGAGTTTATATATTTTTTCCTCTTTTTTCTTTTAAACTTAATCTCATCAAGTACTCGCGTTGTAAGTAAGAAAAAAAAAGAAGAAGAAGAAGAAGAAGAAAATCAAATCATATTATCGGACGGGTCGGGTTATCGTGAAAATTGAAACACGACCCTCTCGCAGCACAGTGTTAACTCCTCTCTCTATTTTCTTTTGTTGTCTTTTTCGCGAACGATTCACATTTGAGAATGTCGAGCACTGCGCCTCGACCGTCTATAACTAGGCTCGCTGCTGCAGCAGCACGTAGGCGTATCGCATTTCTTTATATGCGTTATTGAAAAACAGCTCATGAACACGCGAGCGAGTGCGTCGTATCAAGGCGGGCGGACAGCGGCTTATAACAGCAATGGCAAATAGGGGAAGGGAGTTTTCTATAAAAGTGAATGTTACTGCACGCACTGGATTTTCTGCTAGGCTACCTCTGCACAAACACACACATGCGCGATCCACTTGCATCACGAAAAATTTTAACGATTTCCTGCTTCAATATAACTATATACGTGCGAGCGTACTCGCACGCATTTTTATTAAACTACTTCGATTGCCTGCAAATATTTGTAAAAGGAGTGTTGGGCGAATTGCATAGGGATATTAAATAACGAATTTGTAAATGTTTATATTTACTACATATACGTTTTATTGTATCTTGTATAATTGTATCTGTATATAATTTCTCTGCATAGATTATAATTTTAAACAATATTGTTATAATATTTATTTGTTATCATTATCGTAATATAATCATTCTTAAGATTATTTTCATGCTATACTATAATATAACTACATTTTCATATCTATATGTAAAAATATACAGGTTTGGTAATAATCATGTATTTAGATATTTTTTTTTCGTGACTAGCGCAGTCATTTCAAAAAAACGTCCCCGTTTGCTCGGGGGCACATTTTTTTTTGTTTGTTCATAAAACAAAAAATCATACTCGTTTAAATAAGTCATCATAGATAAAATTCACAAATTCATAACTCATTACAAAAAATATAAACGTTTTGACGTGTTGTAAAAATCATATAATATGCTGCATCTTGTTGAAATCGTATTTTCTCATTCATTCTTTGTGTTCGATTAGGAAACGATTTTCCCCTGTTTTTCAGCTTTTCTTTCTTTTTATTTCAACTATTATATGATAATTTTTCAACATGAAATCTTGTCGGAAAATTGTGAATAAAATTGAGACTTCAAAATATATTATCGTATGCTAAGATAAAAATATATTTTAAGATGAAAGACTTTTTACGATTAAATTTTCGTTATAAGTTCACAAAAATTTTAAATTCCATATAAAACAGTCTATTACTCTAATCATTAATTATATATTTCAATATATTTTTTCCATAATTGACGAGGACATTTTTAGAAAATCGTATGTTTGCATATAAAAATAAAATACATCCAAAAAATATGCATAGTTGAATGAAATGATTGATCATCAATTAGTTTGTTTATGTGAAAAAAAATTTATTGTCGAAAAATTAAGTATATCGCTTATATATTTCATTAAAACGGCAAAACCTTTGTTAATGGCTCACTGATTTTTTTCATGCGATAAACAAAATTATTACACATTTTGTCACAAAATCAAAAAGTTCTCACTTTTTTATAATCAAAGATCTATAATAAAATTTTCACATCGTTCTCGGATAAACTTATTGTGTATCGTATAATATACTTTATATATATTATCAAAAGAAAAATTCTTATTTTCGATTAAACTTTTATACTGATACAGATTTATTTCCATGCATTGTTTTTTGTTTATCTTTTTAGAAACTGAGAGCATTGTTTAGCACTACTTTCGCTTAGTATATTTTTTTCACTTGAACTCTTTGGTTGGCTAGATTTTTATCTCTATCTTTTTTTTTTCATTATGTTTATAACAACGTAATACAATAAGATGATCGTGTTTTGAATGTTTGAGCTTCATTTTTCTTTTCTATAAAATATTTTTACTCCATTGATTTGTACATTATCTCGTTTGGTAAATACAAATGTGAATCTCAAAATAATCCAACGAAATTTTCTCATTAAAAAGTAAAAATTACCACACTAAAAACTATAATGCACCTATTTTTTTTAAATATACTCGAACAATATTATTTTCTCGCCTCTGGAACATTATTTTGGTAAATATGATCTTGTTCTTTTATAGTTTGACATCGTGCTTCAATATAATTAATAATTATTTTTTCTCAAGGTTCAAATCACTCTGTCACTCAACGATATTTACCAAACTCTCATTCCTCGATCGAGAAAATCGAAGAAAAAAATGCCGTCGTCATTCATCTATACAAATTCCGACGATTCTTTACTACAATTTGTGATTTCAACAATATCATCATCAAATGTCATGGATAGTTTCAAACCTCTGAGCTAACCAAATACTCCTTGAGCGTCGCGTATTAAGCGTCGCTCGAGAAGATCAGCCTACAGTTAAATACTTTCAGACTTATTAGTTTTTTTAAAATGTACGCAACATCTGCTCACAAAATTCTGAATTATTTTTTTTTTATTCTTTTTTACAATATCTTTGTTCGTCGCTCTCTCGCGGTCCATCGATTCGTTTCGTCGACGAAAACCTCATCAAGGATTCAATTATACCGAATGATTATACGAATACTAAGGAGAATGTCCATTTAAAGTGGTCATGTTTGTTTGTTTATTTATTTTTATTTTTTTTATGAATTTATACATGTAGTTTTTAATTTTTTTACAAGTCGTTGTGACGTGTGTGTTTTATTAAAAGATTACAATTCTTCTTCTTTTTATTTTATTCAAGTGTTTTTGTGCATTTGCGATTCCTAATTTAGACCATCGTCACTTCGAGTTTGGACAGTCTGTTTCCCATTTCGAAAAGGTGAGAATAAACAAAATATTTATAGTTTTCTTTTTCAGAGTTTGAGAATAGCTCCTTAGAAAAAGTAAAAATATATCAAATGTTAAAAAGATCTTACCGAGATGGCTATTATTTCTTTCCTAGTCAACGAAAAATTGAATTAGCGAAGTTGTAATTGTTTTTTGTTAGTTTGTTTTTCTTTATTATTTACTGGCGAGTCTCAATAAAGTATTATTCAAGAGTCTGTGATTCCAAAACGTTCGTAAAATATCATGGGACATTTAATTTTTCATTCTATTTTTATTGTTTTAATAACATCGAAGATATGACTATATTCATCATATTATCTATGAGTTTTGAACTTCGCGTTTTGCTACCACAGGTAAGAGTTCCAGAACAGCCCGTTCGCTCATCGTCCGCATTATCATCATCATCATCATCGCGTTTCATTTTATCCCCCTGCATTTTTATCATCATATATTATTACATGCGCGGCGCGTTATCTAGACGTTTGACAGCTTGAGGTTAAATATCGATATGTATTACATATCACTAACAATGAAAATCATGCGAGCGTGAAAATTTAAATTAAATATAGTGTACCCTGTCTCTTAGAGAATATAATAATCATTATTATTGGAAAAACGTCGCCGTATTATTTACTTTTTTTTATTATAAGCTCTTCTAACATTCGTTTATGTACGGCTATGCGTATAGAAAAGCTCGAGCGGCATACTTGATGAAACGATCTAACTTTTTTATTCATTATTTGTGCCAACGCAGTGTTCTGGAATCGACCCTATTCTTTTGAAAATACAATATTTAAGCTAGTTAATTCATTCTATCTCACCCATAATCCATTCTACAGGGATATTTAACATCGTTTTGATTTTTGATAAAATAATTTAATAAATCAAGATGAAAATTTGAATGATTGGCAGTGGAATTGTACTTTCTTCAATTCAAAATGAACATTTACAAGTATTTGTCCTAATAGTGAAAGTACGATGTATTTGTACGGATCTATAATTATTCGGAATAATTAAAACTTTTACCATCCATTAAAATTATTTAAAATTTACTCAATAATTTCTCCGACCTCAAGAGAATGCGCTAAAATTTAATAATTAAAAACATTACGCAAGTATATTTCCTAAGTTTTGAGTTTGTCCACTGCAACCTTTTATTAATTGAACGAGATTCTTTTTTTTATTTTGAATTTATTATTCTCTACAATTTCAGGCAGTTATTTCGCTTTTTTAATGTGACGCGTTCAATTTCAATAAAAAAGTTACAGCGATTGATCCATTCTCAATGACGATCGAAAGAATTTTTCCAAAAATATCAATGTGTGAATTTTTCAGGTGTGAAAATAAAGTGCTGTGTGTTTGCAAGTGCTGGTTACGAAATGTGCGTTATTTACATAAAAATCAAGTTGAATGTTGGCTGTTTGCTTTCGTTACAAGTTTTTTTCTCTTGCGTGACTTTGAAATTGAGGCGCGACTGATTACGCGCGCGCAGCCCGAGAAAATTAGTTCTGATAAAGTACCCGCGGGTAATATCTAACACTTAGAGAGAGAGGGAGTTAGTTGGGTTAGTTATAATTTTGCCTTGTAACATGTTGTTTTTATTTTTTAATAAAGAGAATCTTTTTACGCCACTTTTTTCTCCAACACTAATAGTTTTAATTAAATTGTTACTCGAATAAGTTCTTTATCTTTGACCTCGTAGAAAATTTTTACTTCGAAAGTTTTCAATATTATGCATTCAAAGAAGTTTTTGAGCACAGAACATAAAAATGATCGATGGTAGAATGAAAACGTGTTCTGGGGACGAAGATGTCGATCGATATTTATTCTGCGGTTCAAAGATACTCTCCCAAGTTTTAGCTCGTAACCATTACCTTAGATATTTAGAATTTGATAAAGCTTTCTTATATCGATTTCTTTATGGCAGTCTTTTATAGTCACTTAACGATTCGAATTTAATCAATGGCTTTAAAAAGTATTCGCGGTAAGAAAACCCAGTGTAATTGCACGGATAAAAAGGATTAGCAAAGAGTTAGTGAAATAATCCATCTAAATGCGAGTTCACTACGCGCTGAATTAAATCGATTATGCAAAATAATTAGCGATCGCTTACAGTTTCCAAGCGATCGATTTCAGTTTAATTTGTTGTCACGCCTGAGTAAACATTACATGCAATTGAACTTTTCATTCACTTTTGCGCAACAAAGAATATAGTTAGTGGGTGAAATATT